ACAACTTCTGGTCACTCTGTTTTTGTGTAGTCTCGTTCACGGTTTAGATTCGTCTCCTTTATTTCTAAATCCTTCATCTTCAGCACCAGCCTGGGAGTAAAGCTCCTCATTCCACCTTTGCCCAGGCCCAGCCACAGCTGTCTCTGATCCAGGGACCCCTGAAGGCAGGGGGGCCTCTATTCTCACTGGTCTAACTGGCCGTGAACCTTGGCCGCACCTGCGTGTCCCTGTGGTCTTGTCACCAGCAGCCACCAGATATGTCCATGTCACAGTGCAGGCAGTGACGTGGCTGCGAGTGTCCATCCCATGAGCCACTGCTCTCAGACGCCGCTGGTCCCGAGCTGCACCGGCTTGTCCTGCCCACCGCACAGTTCAGGAGCAATACGTTACTCGTCATCACTTTTTAACATCTCGGTGACTGTGTTTCAATATAGTCAGTTTGCTTTTTTTTTTTAATCCTCACCCAAGGACATTTTTCCATATTTTGTTCAGATAGAGCAGGAGGGAGGGAGCGAGAAAGAGAGAGAAACATCCATGTGAAAGGGACACATCGAGTGGCTGCCACCCACACGATCCAACCAGGGCCGGGGACAAACTGCAACTGAGGTACGTGCTCTTAGCGGGAACCGAACCCGGGTCTCTCTGGACCGCAGGCTGACGCTCTAACCGCTGAGCCAAACCGGCCAGGACCAGTTTGCTTTTTAATCTTATGCATTTACCTTTATTAAACCCATGTTACTTAGGAGGCTTCCCACTGCCACGTAGAAAGGATCCGTGGCAGAGAACCAGCTTAGATCCCCTCCAGTGGCTGGGAAGCTGGCAGGGCTGCTTTCCCCACACCCACCCCCTCGCCTGGGCTCACCACTCGGAGCAGGAGGACGGGGACAAACAGCAGAGCAATCTGAGCATATGTATAAAAGCCGAAGTCTCACCACCCTGGTTTTACCATGGTCACACATGCACCCTCAGGTGAGCGGTGGTCCTGCAGCAGGTCGTTAAGGACTGGTCAGTGGGCCTGTGTCAGCTCCAGGGAAGGGTGGTAGAAAGGGCCTTGTCCCGTGTTTCCCTGGAGACTGGCGCACCTGATGCTGGGTGATACCTGCGTGTGATTTTCCAGGTGGGGCTGCTGAGCCGGCAAGAGCAGGTCACACCTGGTGCTGTGACTTCTCAGGTGCTCTGAGGCCACTGGACAGGCAGGATTCGGGAGCTGCTCCTTGCATCCTAGAAGGCTGGCTGAAAGGCTCCTGTGAGACTCGGGTCCGGATGGACCGTTCCGGGCAACCTCGGTCGTACTTCCAAACACCTGGAGCTCACTAGGCAAGACTGTGCCGTCTTCAGTAGGGATGGGTGGGGACCCACGGGGGCCGCCGGGGCCAGCGTCCCCTGCTGCCCCAGGCAGACACCCTGCGGAGGCTTCAGGAGCAGTGGCTTTGCATCTAGGCCGTTCTCTCCTGGGCCAAGGAGACAGCTTCGGTCCCTGCCTGAGGAAAGTGCTGGAATTCGGACCCTGAGATACAGTCTTCAGCACAAAATAAGCTTTTCTCTGTTCTGCTTCATTTTGCTTAAATGCATAATAGAAGGTACCTCTTGTATTCATTCTGGAGGGAGAAATTAATCAAGACTAGATTCTCAGATTCTTGTGGGTGTTTTGTAAGTACACTGCACTTCTTTAGGCCCTGCTTATTTTATGTGGCATCCAATCAGACACACACACAATCAGAAGAAGGAATTCTTGTTCCCGCTCAGAATTAAATGCTGATTCTCGAGATTCAGATAGATTTAATTCTGGGGGAAAAGAAGAACATGGCAAGTGAGCATTACCAGTAAGACCATCTTATTGGACGGACACGCGGCAGCACGGTCCTGCTCTCCGGCAGGGAGAGCCGTCTGCTCTGGGGTGTCTCACTTAGACCCAGGGGGCTCGTGCTGCCTGTGGCAGACAGGCTCCTGTCGCCCGCCTGGCTGTCCTGTGACAAGCGGCTGCTCTACTCAGTCTCTCATTTTTATTTGACCTGAAGCCAGTTGCACTGATTCTGAGAGAGAGCAAGGGCCTGCTTGTCCTCCAATCGCTAGCTGGCCTGCTGGACGGCTGATGGCTCCCGGGGGCTGATCACTTTGTTTCTGTCGTGCTTATTCCCGGTTTGAGAATGACACAGCACCCCTTATGTAGCTGTGGAAGCAGGGAGGCCACGGAAGGTGGCCTCACTGCACTGCGTAGAGGCTCGTTAGAAATCTCACGTCACACTGGAAGCACAGGGATGCAGAGCGGCTGGAGGTTTCATCACCACTGGCTCCGCCTGGGGGTCCCAGATGGCAGCTGCCCTGTCTCATTCTACCCCGGAGCAGAAAGACGGCCCCTTCGAGGGCCTCGCGGACCAGTGGAGAAAACCGCAGCGCGCAGGGAGATTGCTGGCAAAAGGAAAGGTGTCCCCAGGCGCGGCACGTGCCCCAGGCCCTGCTGTCCTGACACTGGGTTTCCCTGTGGACCGTTTCTGCGGTGAGGTTCACGAAGAGGGCGTTCTCCGGGGACACAGCTCCCTTGTTTCCTTCAGGCCGGGTGACAGTTTCCTCTGTCGGACGCGAGCCGCCGTGAGACCCTCTTCCCTCCAGCGCCTGTGGGCGGCCCTCCCCTTCTCCGGCATTCTCCTTTTCCTGGCCAGTTTGCGTTGTTGGCAGGAAGTGAACGAGGCCCTCCATCCTCTGTGCCTCAGTTTCCTCACTCTGAAAGAAGGACAATAATGCTCTTCGTGTTGTGAGCATCCGAGGGACTCGCGTGTGGAGAGCGCGGGCACACTGTGCCACGCGTGGGGGCCTTTCCACAGCAGGTCGTGAGTGTCTGCTCTGCCCAGCTCCTGAGCACGAGCTACCAGGAGGAACTCACAGCCTTCGGGTGCTCTCAGTTCAGTTGAGGACTCGGGCACTAATTAGGTAATCACACAGAATTCTGTCTCCAAATTGGGCCAAGGACTAGGAAGGAAAATGGCACAGAGCTCCCCTGGGCCCTGACCTAGTCCAGGACAGCTTTCAGGAGCTTTCGAGTGGAGATGGGAAGGAAGCATACGAGTGAATTAGGAAAAAGAGGTGTCAGGCCCCCAACCCCAATGTGCCTTTGAGAAAATCAGGAAAAGACACTCCTGGCCAGGGCAGCTGCAGCCCTCACCAGCCCTGACCAGCCCTCACCAGGCATGGCCTACGGAGCAGAGCCAGGAAGGGTCCTGCTCACCCTGCCCAGCTGGTTGCCCTGGGGCAGAGAACAGCCTGCCTGGCAGTGTCCTGGAGACAGCACAGCTGGAGCTCAGGGCGAGGTTGAGTGGGGTGGGGAGTCGGGAAGCCCTCAGAAAGTATCAGTGAGTGTTAACTCATGACGGCATCACTGCTAAGTTCACTGCAGGCTGCCAAGGTCTCCTGAGGTCTGCCTAGAAGCCCCTGGGTTTTAACTAGCAAAGGAGGATGACTGAAGGGATGTGACTGAGACTCAGAGAATAAGGACAGTGGGCAGAGAGGGACAGTGAGTGTGGACAGCAGGGCGTAGGCGCACCTCCAGGGCCGGCCTCCAGCGAGATGCTGCTGTCCCACTGCAGCCGGAGAACAGCTGCTGGACAGGAACCAGTGCGCACCAAGCAGAGCCAGGAAAGAAGCCACCACCTCATTCAAATGAAACAGGAAACAGCACTAGAGAGGTTTCCAACATGCCATCATTTCGAGGGTAGAACTGTCTCTAAAGAAGTAGAAGGACCTCCCTCACTGGCACCCTAGAAAGGAAGGACCCATGTGGCTGGAGAACCACACTGCTGACCACACTGCTCACAGGAAGTGACTTCCGTGACTCTTCCTGGCTCTGGTATCATTCATTCTCACACACATACTGTACGAAGGGCGAGGCGTTCTGGTGGTAGTGGTGGTTTTTAAAGCCAGGTTTAGAGGTGAGTAAACACCCCGGTCCTGGCGGGGCGGGTGCTGTGGCAGTGAGCTCGCAGCCTGGGCCCGACGGGCTGCTGTGTGCCCACGGAGGTCCGGTGTAAAGCCTGGGCTTTGGGATCGGGTGGCTCTGGGCCACTTAGAAGCTGTGTGACCTGGCACCCGTTAGTCAGCCTTTCTGTCCATGGGACTGATGTAAGCTCAAGTGATGGGAGAGTGCGGGGACCAGGGTGCCCAGGTGTCCCATGCAGACTGGTGTCTGGGGCCTATCCTGGCACAGCCTGCGTGTGATCCATGTCCTTTCAGAGGCTGTGCTTTTGTCGTGCGTCTGAAATAGCACGGCTTCTGCTTGGCAGAGATAGCTGAGCTTTGGGGAGAGAAGGAATCAAAATTAAGTAGACTTGTAAGAGCGTCAGCAGTTAGTGTTTTTGTAAACTCGTAGGAGAGAAAAGGAAAGACAGTGTGCTCAGGTTCTGAGCACGGTGTCTGTGGTCAAGAACACACCTCATCTGAAAACCTGCACCAGCAGACACTTAACTGACCCAGCACTTGAGATTTCTGCTCCTTATTAAGATGTAGTAGAACTTAAAACTGTTCTTGATTTGTGCCACATTGAACTAGAACGCACACTGATCACAGATAAGCTCCTGTATTTTGCTTCCAGGAAGGAGGCAGATTGCCTAATTTCCCGTCCACAGAAAGTTGGGAAAAGCCCTTCATTATGGGTCGTGATGCAGTGTGTGAAGGTTCCTCTGCTCCATCTCTGCTCTGTCTGCATAGCCTCATGCTGTTGGCATGTGTGTCGCGCCTTCAGGACTAACACACACCTCTGGACCTCAGTCCTTCAGAGCAGAGCAGGCTGACAGTGATATAAGTGTGCTGGCTGAAACAGAAACACCCGTCCCAGATTTCAAAATGAAACATGCTAACTCCATTCTAAACTTCTTTATCAAGAGTGACATTGTGCTTTCTGAGAACAGGAGTGGGGGAGGCTGTACATCGGAAGCCATGATGCTGTCAGAGGCCGCACAGCGGCTGAAGGGTAGTTCTCATGGCCTGTGACCATCTTCATTGCTTTCCAGCCCTCGGCCGCCCATCCCGCTCTCCCTGCTGCTGACGGAGGAGGAGGCCGCGCTGAGCATCCAGGCCTTCTGGAGGGCCTACCTGGTGAGTCCTGCGGTGCCGCCCCGGGGTGTGTGATGATGGGGTCCGTGGTGAAACAGAGGGTGTTACAGCTAACGTCCACCTCAGAAATAGGATTCTTCATAAATACCTCTCAAGAGGGATTTAGAATTTTTACCAAAACTTATTTTGCAATGATCATTAAACTTACCCTCTGACCTTTTAAAATTGGGTTGACTGGCCTGTGTTACCTGAAAAATAATAGTACAGCCTGGCTGGGTGGCTCAGTTGTTTGTAGCATCATCCCTTATGCCAGATGGTTGCGGGCTGAATTCCTGGTCAGGGCACATAAACCAGGTGCAGTTCAGTCCTGGGTCAGGTGTGACGGATCTGCGTTTCTCTCTCTCCCTTCCTCTCTCTCTAAACTCAATAAAAACATATTCTCGGGTGAGGATTAAAAAATAATAATTGCATACATAGCAATACATGTTCATCTATTAAAAAATTAGAGCCCTGGCTCGTTTGGTTCAGCGGTTAGAGTGTCGGCCTGCGGTCCAGAAAGACCCGGGTTCGGTTCCTGTTAAGGGCACGTGCCTCGGTTGCAGTTTGTCCCTTGCCCTGGTTGGGCCCTGCAGGAGGCAGCCACTCGATGTGTGCCTTTCACATTGATGCTTCTCTCTGTCTCCCTTACTCTCTCTCCTTCCCATTCTATCTGAACAAGAAATGGAAAAATGTCCTCGAGTGAGGATTAAAAAAAAAAAAATTAGGAAATCCAGATGATTCACATAAAGCAAATAAAAAAGTTTTTGAGTCACGGATAACTCTATCACCCAAAGATTATCATTGTTGACATTTTGGTGTAAACACTTCCAAATCATATAAATACGTAACATAAATACGTTACATATAAATACGTAACATATAGAAAGTTACCTTTTCTTTTATTTATTTATTTTTCTTTATTGATTTTTAGAGAGAGAGGAAGGGAGAGGGAGAGACAGATGGAAACATCGATGAGAGAGAACATTGATTGGCCGCCTCCTGCATGCCCCCCACAGGGGATCGGGCCCACAACCTGGGCATGTGTCCTGGCCTGGAATAGAACCGGTGACCACTTGGTGCATGGGTCAACACTCAACCACTGAGCTACGGCAGACAGGCTACCTTTTCTTTTAAAACATCTTTTCTAACACTTTTCTATTGGTAACTTCCCGTTTATCACTATGATAGTAAATGTGCAGTATGTATCTCTATGCGGACACCTTTGCACATTGTCTGGTTGTTCATGTGGAAGGAATTCTAGGTGTGAAATTTCTAGGTCAGAAGGTGAGTTCTTTCCTAAAACTCCTGATTGATGTTGTCAAGTGGAATAACGGGAACACTTTTTAACATTCTTAACAAATATATATGAGACTGTCTTGTGCTAAGTGTGCAGCCTCTCTGGTCAGCTGGCAGTGAGACTCTCCATGGTAAGAAGGTTCCAGGAGAACGGAGAGTGGCAAGGCTTCCCCCACGTGTGACCAGCAGACGTGGGGAGGGCGGTGAGAGTGTTTCTCGGCCGCGGCAGGCGCGGGGAGGGCGGTGAGAGTGGATCTCGGCCGCGGCAGGCGCGGGGAGGGCGGTGAGAGTGGATCTCGGCAGCGGCAGGCGCGGGGAGGGCGGTGAGAGTGGATCTCGGCCGCGGCAGGCGCGGGGAGGGCGGTGAGAGTGGATCTCGGCCGCGGCAGGCGCGGGGAGGGCGGTGAGAGTGGATCTCGGCCGCGGCAGGCGCGGGGAGGGCGGTGAGAGTGGATCTCGGCCGCGGCAGGCGCGGGGAGGGCGGTGAGAGTGGATCTCGGCCGCGGCAGGCGCGGGGAGGGCGGTGAGAGTGGATCTCGGCCGCGGCAGGCGCGGGGAGGGCGGTGAGAGTGGATCTCGGCCGCGGCAGGCGCGGGGAGGGCGGTGAGAGTGGATCTCGGCCGCGGCAGGCGCGGGGAGGGCGGTGAGAGTGGATCTCGGCCGCGGCAGGCGCGGGGAGGGCGGTGAGAGTGGATCTCGGCCGCGGCAGGCGCGGGGAGGGCGGTGAGAGTGGATCTCCGCAGCGGCAGGCGCGGGGAGGGTTGTGAGAGTGGATCTCCGCAGCGGCAGAGATCGCCACAGGAGAAGGTCGCGGAAATTTGCATGGAGGCCGAGCATCTTCACACTGATGCGCTCCCCGGGGCTGTGTAGATGATGTAGACCGGGCAAACGCACCAGCAAACAGTGTCCAGCAAGAAGTGAAATGGCCCTGACCAGTTTGGCTCAGCGGTTAGAGTGGTGGCCTTTGATCTAGAGAGACCCGGGTTCTGTTTCCGCTAAGGGCAGGTGCCTCGGTTGCAGTTTGTCTGTGGCCCCGGTTGGTGTCGTGTAGATGGCAATCACTGGATGTGTCCCTTTCACGTCGATGTTTCTCTCTCACACTCCCTCCCGCTTTATCTGAACAAAAAATGTCCTCCGGTGAGGATTAAAAAAAAGAAGTGAAATGAACTCTATTGAGCTACAATCAGTTAATCAGTCAACAAAATATCTGTTACATGGCCATTAAATGGGAGTGTTCTCCATTACAAGGAGCTCACTGGAAGTGATACTTTCCAGTTATTCCTCTGCTTTCGAAGGTGACACATTCCTAAAAACACCGGTCTCGAAGTCAAGTATGAAAGGTACATAATAGACTTGCATGTTATAAGGAGCAGTCTGTTCCCAAAGAAACCAGTTACAAAATCCTGTTATTCCCTATGATTCAGATATAATCTTTGATGGTGTAGATTTTCTTTTCACAGTTTCACACATGTTATAATTGTGGGCCTTTTCCTTCATAACTGAACGCAGTGGTGGGTAAAGTCAGGGGTGTCCGACCCAGGCCAGAGTCCTGGCTTCCGAGGACTTTCTGAGTTCCGTCTTGGTCATCCGTGTATTCCATTTGTGAGACTTAGATTTTTTACACTAAAGTCAGCAATTTCACTTTCTACTTTATGTTCCTTTTTATGAAACAATAAGAAAAAATGCAATGAAATATTAATATTCAGATTTTGTTTCTTTAAAACAGCAAAGCCTTTTCTTGAAACTGAATCACACCCCAAAGCCTAGTATGTAACCAGTATGGAACAACCAAAGGGGCTGTTTGCACCCCGACTCTTTCAGGCAGCCAAATACCCCACCTCACCCTCCACACAAGGGCCTGTGTTACGGGCACAGAATGAAAGCATAGTTTGTCAGACAGATGCATTCAACTCGTCACACCCAGGCGCTGCCATGTAACAAGGTGTCCAGTGGCTAGAAGCAACTGTGGCTGTGGCGCTGTCACCACACAGCAGTGGGGCATGTCCTCCAGGGCCTATGCAAACGCCCAGGCTAGTCAGAGCCCAACATCTGCTGTGCTGAATTCACAGCCAAAGGGGCCAGGGGCGGGGGAGGGCCCTCGGCTGTGGCTGCAAGGAAACGATGTCTGATGTGTGGGGTGGTTTTGGAGAACTCTGTGGACAAGGGAGATTTGATCTCGACCTTAAAAGAAAGGCGGGGCACTGGGGTGTCAGCTGGAACCAAGAGGACATCCAAGGGAGAGCAGATTTCACGTGCATTATACTATGTTTATTAAAGCATATTGTATATGTATATATTAACTTATTTTATTGTTGAAACTATTACAGATGTCCCCATTTTCTCCCCCTTTGCCTACCTCCACTCAGCCCCTGTACCTCTTCCTTGGCCCTCACCTCTCTGTTGTGTGTGCATATGGGTTATGCATATATGTTCTTTGGCTAATCTCTTCACCTTCTTTCACCCAGCTCCCCCAACCCCCTCCAGTCTGACAGCTGTCAGTCTGTTCCATGTATCTATGTATGTGGTTCTATTTTGTTCATCAGTTTATTTTTTTCGTTAGATTCCACATATAACTGATCTCATATGGTATTTGTCTTTCTCTGACTGAATTATTTCACTTAGCATAATAATCTCTAGGTCCATCCATGTTGTTTCAAAAAGTAGGATTTCCTTTATTTTTATGGCCATGTAGTATTTCATTGTGTAGAGATGTACCACAGCTTTTTTATTCACTCATCTGCTGATGGACTCTTGGCTATTCCAGATCTTGGATATTGTACATAATGCTGCTATGAACATGGGGGTACATATATTCTTTCAGATTGGTGTTTTGGGATTCTTAGGATATATTTCCAGAAGTGGGATCACTGGGTCAAAACGCAGTTCCAATTTTAGTTTTTTTGAGGTAATTCCATTCTGTTTTTCACAGTGGCTGCACCAGTCTGCATTCTCACCATCAGTATACTAGGGTTTCCTTTTCTTCACATATTCACCAAACTTATTGTTTATTGATTTATTGATAGTAACTATTCTGACTAGTGTGAGGTGATATGTCATTGTGTTTTCAATTTTCATCTCTCTGATGATTAGTGAGGGTGAGCATGTTTTAAAATATCTATTGGCCATCTGTATGTCCTTTTTGGAGAAGTGTCTATTCAGGTCTTTTGCCTATTTTTTAATTGGATTGTTTGTCTTCCTAGTGTTGAGTTGTATAAGTTATTTATATATTCTGAAAATTAATCCCCTATCAGATGTATCATAGGTAAATATAGCTCTCCCATACAGTGGGTTCCCTTTTTACTTTGGCGATGGTTTCTATTTCTGTGCAGAAGCTTTTTAGTTTGATGTAGCCTCATTTGTTTGTTTTTTTTCCCTTTGAGTTTATTCTTGTGTATGGTGTAAATGGATGGTCTAGTTTTATTTATTTTGCATGTAACTGTTAAATTTTCTCAGCATCATTTACTGAAGAGACTGTCTTTACTCCATTGTATGCTTTTGCCTTCTTTGTCAAATATTAATTGAGCATAAAAGTGTGGGTTTATTTCTGGGGTCTCTGTTTTGTTCTCATGCCAGTACCAGGCTGTTCTGATTACAGTGCCATTCTGTCTATGTTTGATGGCTATGCACATGCACAGGCACAGACATACATGCACAACATGCATAGGAGATACCTGAAAGGAAGCACAGCAATCTGACAACAGTGGGCA